ATCTTCTGTAAGATCTTACTTGCATGTGATGATTTAATTATATTGTTCTATAATTTCCACAATCTGTGGGATCACCTTTCTTTGGAATGGGTACAAATATGGATCTCTTCCAGTCAGCTGGCCAGGTAGCTCTCTTCCAAATCTCTTGGCATAGCTGAGTGAGTGCTTCCAATGGTGCATCCGTTTGTTGAAATATCTCAATGGGTATTCCATCAACTCCCAGAGCCTTGTTCTTCACCAATTCCTTCATTGCAGCTTTGACTTCCTTCTTCAGTACTATTGGTTCTAGATCATATGCCACTTCCTGAAATGGATGAAGATCAACCAGTTCCTTTTGGTACAGTGATTCTGTGTCTTGTGCCACAGTGGTTAAAGCATTTGGCTGCTAACTAGAAGGTTGGAAGTTTGAAACCACCAGCTGCTTCGCGGAAGTAAGATAAGGTAGTGTGCTTCTGTAAAGATTTACAACCTTCGACACCAAGTGGGGCAGTTCTACTCTGTCTGATAGGGTTGCTATCAGTTGGAATAGATTTGATGGCAGTGGATAGGAATTATCTGCTCCAACACTTTTCGGATTGGAGGGAGGACAGATCTTTGAGATGCCCCCCCCCCTTTTTTAAAGTAATATACAGAGATGGTATAAATTTTAGCCTGCAAATAAAGTTATGCATTGTATACTCTTAATTTGAAAGTCAATGAATAGTCCCTCTCACCCCTTATTCCCAGTTCTTTAGTTTTTCTCCCCAGAGGCAACCACGGTTAATAGTTTCTTATGTAGTCTTCTGGACATAGTTTATGAATAATCAAGAATGTGAATATATATTTTTCCCCCTTATTCTTTTTTTACCCAGATTGTATGATATATACACAAACTGTTTTGTGACTTGCTTTTTACATATTTTAAAAATTGTCTTCCAATGCTTTTGTACTAATGAAATTTCTTATTTCCTTTTTTAGTCATTTTTGGCTATTTCTCTAGGAAACTGTCTATTTCCTTGATATTTTCCAGTTATTTCCATAGAGTTGTAAGTCGTATTGTATTGCAATACAAAACATCCAACAAATGTCTCCATGCCCATTAGCCTAACGCTAATCTGACATCCACCACTAGCAAAGTTTCTAAGCATCTTTGGGCAAGTTATGAGAGTCCTGTCATACTGTAAATGTCCATGACTTGACAGAGGATGTATATTAAAGAATAGTTAGTTAGTTAGGTGACTATGTGAGATGTATTTGCAACTGAAAAATACAGTAATTCCTATTTTAAAAGTTTATCCTTGTTCAGCAACCTTCCTTCC